TTTCTTTCTTATTATTTTCAGCCAACATTTTAGCAGTCATGGCCCTATCATATTATTCAATCTTTTCTCATGTATAATCTTACAGTTGTAAAATACTTATTTTGCAATTTTAACAAAGAGGGCAGTTTTTAGAATAGGTATGTCTTCATGCTAAAAAGCAATGGTTGACTACCTTTTCAGACGTACTCATTTATTAAAAATTATTTGTTTCTAATAAAAAATTTGTTAATCTGTAATAAAAAATTAAAAGGAAAATTCTCTGCCATTATTCTCATGGTTAACCCAGTAACTTTTACGTTTAAATATTCTAGAAATTGAATTTTCTACAGAATTAGAAAAGATTCAGTCTCAATCCCCTAGCCTTATAATGTACTTAACCCCACTAATGCTCTTTCAAATACATGAACCCAGAAGTCAGGATGAATTTTAAAGTAAAGACATGATGTTTACATTTACCCATTGTTCCCCCTTAACCTACAGTACCTGCATTTAGATATATTTTGCTTATATGAGATATTGGAAACTATTTTTGATGACCATTATCTTTTCTGATCCAGAAACTGGTCACATTTTCTTCCAGTCAGCCCTGGAGCCATTATACATTCTCCACAGTAATTTCACTGTGTCTCTCCAACAATGCTTCTGTCATTCTCTTTTATTTAGAACCCAAAATAAAAGTTCTGCTGGAAGTGTTTGCATAGGAATATAGTTTCTATACGAAAATAAGAGGCAACCCACTTAGTTTTCTTACCCTAAATTCATTGAAAATATTAAACTTGCCTTTTGGAATAAGATGGGTCCTTTTCCAGTTTCCAGAACAGTGCCCACTAAGGGTTAAAACACTGTGGTCACTCAGTCCCTGGGGGCGGGGCTGGTGGAGACTGCACTGCCTGCTCCCAGAGCGTGGGACTCAGCTTGTTTCCAAATAGATTTCCTCTAAATTGACTTTCGTTTTGATCCCTGTGAGACTTATGTGAAAGGGCAAAAAATAGTTTCCTCTTAGAATAAAATCCAGACTTAGCTAGATTTATTGTCTTGCCCCCAAATAGATATAATTTAGAATTTTTGGTAGTTTTGAAATCCATTTCTTTTTTTTTTTTCAGAATCCAATTCCAATGTTAATAGGCTTCCAAACATTTTGTTACTTACTCAGAACGTTTTGAGAAAGCAAATCCCTAATACTGAAGCATATTGTATTTTCAAAGTATTAAATTTTAGCTCCATGTCTCTCTTAGAGATTTTCTTTAGGTAAATCATAGTTCTAAATTAAAAGAGTTTGCAAGATAAAGAAACCTACAGTTTGCACTATCAATTTGAAGAAATATTATTTCTTTACATTTTTCTTCAAAATATTTACAGTAAGTAAAAAAACTTACGTTGAGTAACACTGTGCGACAATGGAAGTAAATGAACATTTATTGAGCACATAGTACGCGCCAGGTTTCACATACACTTAAATATTTAATTTAAACCGTACAACAGTAATCATTTGGGATTGGTATTATTATTGGTATCAATCAATCAACTGGGCATGGTGGCTCACAGATGTAAGCCAGGCACTTTGGGAAGCCAAAGAAGGAGGATTGCTTGAGCCCAGAAGTTTAAGAGCAGCCTGGGCAACACAGGGAGACTGTATCTCTGTGCATTCACATGTGTGCGTGCATACACACACACACACATACATACACACAATTAGCTAGGCATGGTGGTCCATCCCTGTGGTCCCAGCTACTTGGGAGGCTGAGGTTGGAGGATTGCTTGAGCCAGAGAGGTCAAGGCTGCAGTGGGCCATGATGGGACCACCGCACTCCAGTCTGGGTGATAGAGTGAGACCCCGTCTTAAAAAATGAAATAAAATAAACAATCAACTTAGTGTGTAAAGTCTGGAAGACAGATTACCTTAAATTTGAAAGGGAGTTTAGTCACTTAACAAAGGTGCTTCTTATACAGTATTGAAATACAAAACTAAAAAGTGAAATCCAATCATAGGGATAAATTCTAAAAGAAATTCTAAAGGCAAACTCATTTAAAACACAATATTGTTTTCCTCCCCTGAAAATTCAAAATTGGTATTTTTCATAGCTTCTAAGAATCATGCAAATGTTGGATGGCAGAGTCAGTCTCAAAAGTCAAGGACTAAGTGTGGGTATAGTTTCAATACCATAATCTGAGACTTCCAGCAACGCTCTTAATTTTCTTATCCTGATGAACTAAGATGTTTAGTATTTTTCTCACTCTCCGGTTTCCTGATTATTGTTCTAACTCCTTGTTGGGTCATCTGCCTCAATCCAACTTCTGCATGGTTAAACCACATTTCCATGACTGGAACAGAGGACATGAAAAGCCTTGAAAGTGAGGTAGATGAAATAAACATGGGGGTAAAAAAAGAATGCAATATGAATCATCACTGTAGCCTACGGTTTACTGAAGGCCAGCTCTGTGGTCAGGTTGGTGCCAGGTGCCTTGCTTGTAATTCTCACAGCAATTCTTATGTCTAGTTGAGGAGTTTGAGATTCAGGGATTTAAAAACTTGCCAAAGATAAAAGCTAGGAAGAGCTAGAATTGTTATTTAAACAGAGATCTGTCTGACTTCAAAACACTGACTTTTTTGTAGTTGACCATTCTCTCACAGTTGTAATGATTTTCTTGTATTCTCATTTATCACAGTTCAGAGGCAGATAATGGTAAATAAAAACCAAAATGGACTCAAATGCATCACGTCTGAAAGGTTATCAAGAAACTAGTTCATCAGAGGAGTTTGTATGTTCCTTTTTTCTCTAGATCTTGAGAAAGAGCTAAAAGAATCATTTTTCTTTCTTGGATTTATGAGGTCTAAGTCCAAGAATAGAGCAGCGCTTTCTCAGATCCCTTCAGCTCTGTACTTCCGTGTTGACTACCTCTTCTAGCTGCATATTCCATAAAGCGCAGCTAGGACAATTACTTGAAGGAATAAAAGTGAGTGATGATAGTTAATATGCAACCTTCTATACAAAACCATTTTTCCCCTAAAATTTCCAATGACAGTTGTCTTAAAATTAGGGGATATAATGGGATGAGAATCAGCTGGCTATTAGAGAACTGCATGTTCTTATTGGTTTAGTTCTATTAGTTTCCTCAACTTTCAATATATCCTGAAATGGCCCGATTGCCCTAACTTGTTGCCCTAAATGACTAGCCACACTCGCTGGGGTTGTCAGGAGTTAGTAATGTTTCTGTATTGCCTTATGTCAGATTTATATATGTTATCCTTGTGCTTTATGTAAATCATGTTTCAAACAAAATATTATTAAATATCTTGGCCTTTTTCCTGAACTGGTAATGAAACACTCAAGTATGCTTGCCTACAGTTATTGAGTTAGATGAACCCATATCAGTATATATACATGTTTTTATTGCAGGATATTTTTACAAATATGAAACCAATCTATTTAAGTTTTTCCCTTTATGTAAATTTTCTTTTGCATCATTTCAAGGCTGAGCTATAATCTAAAACTTCAGTCCAAGATTGCACACGGCTCTGACCCTACAGCAAAGCAATGGGCTTAAAATGTAGGCTTTAGCCAGGTGCGGTGGCTCTTATCTATAATCCCAGCACTTTGGGATGATGAGCCAGGCAAAGTATGAGGTCAGGAGATCGAGTTCATCCTGGCAAACATGGTGAAAACCCATCTCTACTAAAACTACAAAAAATTAGCTGGGCATTGCAGTGCACACCTGCAATCTCAGCTACTCAGGAGGCTGAGGCAGGAGAACTGCTTGAACTTGGAGTTGGAGGTCGCAGCAGAGATTGCGCCACTGCACTGCAGCCTGGTGACAGTGCAAGACTCTGTCTCAAAAAAAAAATGTGCTTTGGGAAGAGTGGGGCTAGTATTTGCTAAGTTCCTTGGTCATTCCCTACTTCATCTAATTCCTTCCTGCAGCAAACAGTGTCCAGAAGACCTCCCTCATGGAATCATCCAAATTTGTGGAGAAAATATTCACATTTATCATTAAGAGTTAGCTTAGAAGCCTGCCTTTGGAAGGAAGAAAATAGAGCAAAGAGGAAAAGCCATCCTTTTCATTCCAGGGGATTTGGGGAAGAGAAGGAGAAGAAACATTAGCTCTCGAAAATGTATTTGCTTTCCCTAATGTTTTGGTTTCAAATAGCATCTTGTCTTCCCTGGTGAAAAGGTACTGTTTGAGAAGCAGTTAATAGGCAAGAGCTGAGCTGGTTCCATTTCCTACTTCATGGGGCATAAAAATAACAATGTGAAGAAAGGATAAACACTCATGGAAAGCTAGCACAGTATGGACACCTAGCATTCACAGTGTTGCTTTTAAATTCTTAGAGTTTAGATTCTCTGTGGGAGTCATTCACCCAGCCATTAGCAGGTACTGACAGACTTTAGGGAGGTTCTGGGGTTCACCCTCCAAACCTCAGTCACTCAGAGGAAACGGTTAAGACTAGTGTACCAAGGGAATTCCTGAAACTGCTTTATTTAATTAGCTAATTACCAGCATGAGGCCCAGTCTAAGCCCTCAACTGAATTTCTAAATCTATGGGCATTGCAGTGGTGCCCACAGGCTAGATTCAGTGGTCCTCCACCCTGGCTGTATGTTAAAACAACCTGGTAAGTTCCAAAGACACTCAAGCTCAAGCCGAAACTAAGACCATTTAAACCAGCATCTCCAAGGGTTGGGGCCCTGGCACCACTGCTTTTCAGAATCTCCCCAGGTAATCACAATGTGTAGCTAGGGCTGAGAATGACTTTGTTAGCTGCAGATTACTATTATTCCAACAGTGGCGAGCAATTTTCACTCACTGACCTCATGTCTGACTCAGAGATTCTTAATTTTCACTCAGGAAGATCATATTTTAAGCACAGAAGAATCTTTTATACACAGAAGTATACATGGCATATTTATTTCATGTTTAAAGGAGTTAAATTATGACAAGAGCACAAATTGAGGCATTCTATTACATCACAAAATAAGAATTGTTCTTAGTTCACACACATGCTCTGCTCTTTGCAAGGTGAGGCTTAAATCAAGATCCTCAACCTTGGCGCTATTGAGATGCTAGTCTTTTTGCGGAAGGCTACCCTGCACATCGTAAGATGGTTAGTATTTTTCTTGACTTCCTCTTGCTTGGTTCCATTAGCATCCCCCTCCCAGTTGTGAAACCACATCCAGGCAATAGAACAACATCATAGTGATCCAGACATTTGCTTAAACCGGGGAAAGGGTAGGAAAAGGCGAAAGTAGGCAAACACTAATCCTGGAGGTTAATCCATTACAGTCAAAACTGCTGTCAAGATAAGTAAAATTTCCAGTCTAGCCATCCTTGACAGCTACTTCCTCCTGAGAATATTTTCTCTTTCATTGTGACTGTCATTGGTTTTCAGGAATGCAACTGTTGGTAACTCAAGAAAGTGAGGTGTCAGATTGAGGGCTGTTTAGAACTCCAGGTATGGTCTGGAAAGAAGACATTACGATGCGGATTAACAGGAGCTTTGAGTTTTCATAATTTTGCGTAACTCCTTTTCTCTCTCTCTTTTTTTCTCACTCTTTTTTTAGATGTCAAGCATGTACGTAATTAAAACCAGCCAGGCTCTAGTTAATTCTGTGACACCGCAGAACATATTTTATCATTAGTGATTATTCAGTGTAAGAAATTAAGCTGGCAAAGCTCAATTTATGAGAAATGCATCAGAATCATGAAAAGAATCTTGTGATACAAATTTCTGTAAATATGTTGTAAGGAAGACAGTCTCTTTTTAACATAGATGAGTTCTATCTTTGAATATTATTAAAATTCCAAATTGAGGCCGAGTGTGGTGGCTCACGTCTGTAATTCCAGCACTTTGGGAGGCTGAGGGGGGTGAGTAACAGGGTCAGGAGTTTGAGACCAGCCTGGCCAACATGGTGAAACCCTGTCTCCACTAAACATACAAAATTAGCTTGGCGTGACGGTGCATACCTGTAGGCCCAGCTACTTGGGAGATTGAGGCAGGAGAATAGCTTGAACGCGGTAGGCAGAAATTGGAGTGAGCTGAGATTGTGCCACTGCACTACAGCCTGAGCAACAGAGCGAGACTCCATCTCAAAGACAAAATCAAAACCAAAAGGAAGAACCTTGGTCTAATGGCCACAGAGGCTCAGTTTGCAGTTACTATCTAGCACAATTTGGGGCCAATCATACTTTCTATCCTGGGAATAATTAGCCTGGGAATCAGAAGTAGAGTAAATCTCTATTGCGGCTGCACTTGAGTGGTGTAAAATGGGTTGGTCATGTACACAGCATATCCCACATGTCAGAGATTCCTTTTCAGTGCCTAGCTAAGTACTTGATATACAATAGGATACAATAGGAGCATCTTTTTTTTTTTCTTCTTCAGAGAGTACTAGGTGCTAGGCAGTGCTAGAAGACTTTTATATGTATTAACTCATTTAGTTCTCACAGAACACTGTGAGAGATAGGTTTCACAGATGAACAAACTCAATTACAGAGAACTTAAATACCTTGCCCAAGACTAAGCAGCTAACTGGTAAGAGGTAGGCAAGCATCAGACAGCCTGGCTCCAAAGTCCAAGTTCTCAGCCACTATCCAGTTGCTTCTACCTTTCAGAAGGGTAAGAAGAGAGGAAGACAGAAACGGGAGGAAGGAGAGGGAAAACTCATCCAAGTTTTTTTTAAGCCCCCCTACATCCACAGAGTTAACAATAGTGGATTCCACTACTTGCAAGCAACACTGATGGTTCATCACCCTCTGCAATGACTGAAACTTTGCTAAGGCCCATCTGAATGATGTCATGTGGCAGTGCTAAGCACCCAGAGCAAGGAAGGGGCATGACCCCTATTTCTACCTAAAAGCACCTCTTTGGTCCTTCAGTTGTCAGGACTATAACACATTTTTTCTTTGTGTAATGACCACCAGCACAGAGAGAAATGTTGGAAAATGTTTGAAAGGAGGCTACTTTTGTGATGTAAGGATAGACATAAAAAACATGTTACTGTGAATGAAAATGTGATTCAGCAGAAATCCAGGAAGACTTGTGCCCAAACATTTTAGTATTTGGAAATTTGGTAACTGATTTCCAGACGTATTTCTGGAATGTCAAGGGTCTTACGAAGATATGTCTTATTAGTCAATTAGCTTTGAATGCTTAGCATTTAGAATTCTTTCCTCCCATATGAGACTCTGCTTTTAACTGAGAGTCTGGCAAACTTTGTAGGTGGAAAACTCAAATTACATTTTTACTCATTTTACATTTGAAATTTTTCATTCAAAAAGGAAATAGTAAATGGTACAAAAATCAGATCCAAGTAGCTTAAGATTAAATCGAAATAATTTTAGAGAAATGATAAAATTTTAATAAAATGTATTTCTTTGTTTAGATATTGTTTTATTATACTCAGTCATTTTATGGCTTTGTGGGGACACTCTAATGTTACAAAGAAACACACATGCTTTTTAATAGCAACAAGTAACAAATCTGTAAACTGAGAAATGTTTAACCATGAACCCCCCCGCCCACCACTGTCTCTCCCTTAGTCTCCTCTCAACAGACCCCAGTGTGTGATGCTCCCCTCCCTGTGTCCATGCATTCTCATTGAGCAATACCTACCTATGAGTGAGAACAAACAGTGTTTGATTTTCTGTTGTTGTGTCAGTTTGCTGAGAATGATGGTTTCCATATTCATCCCTGTCCCTACAAAGGACACGAACTCATCGTTTTTGATTGCTGCATAATATTCCATGGTGTATATGTGCCACAGTTTCCCTGTCTAGTCTATCATCAATGGGCACTTGGGTTGGTTTCAGGTCTTTGCTATTGTAAACAGTGCTGCAATGAACATTCATGTGCATGTGTCCTTACAGTAGAATGATTTATATTCCTTTGGATATATACCCAGTAATGGGTTTGCTGGGTCAAATGAAATTTCTATTAAGTCCTTGAGGAGTTGCCACACTGTCTTTCACAATGGTTGAACTAATTTACACTCCCACTAACAGTGTAAAATTGTTCCTATTTCTCCACATCCTCTCCAGCATCTGTTGTCTCCAGATTTTTTAATGATCGCTATTCTAACTGGCTTGAGATGGTATCTCAATGTAGTTTTGATTTGCATTTCTCTAATGACCAGTGATGATGAGCATTTTTTCATGATTGTTGGCCTCATGTATGTCTTCTTTTGTAAAGTATCTGTTCTTATCCTTTGCCCATTTTTGAATGGGCTCGTTTGTTTTTTCTTGTAAATCTGTTTGTGTTCTTTGTAAATTCTGGATATCAGCCCTTTGTCAGATGGGTAAACTGCAAAAATGTTTTCCCATTCTGTTGGTTGCCGATTCACTCTAGTGACTGTTTCTTTTGCTGTGCAGAAGCTGTGGAGTTTCATTAGGTCCCGTTTGTCTATTATGGCTTTTGTTGCCAATGCTTTTGGTGTTTTGTTCATGAAGTCCTTGCCTACTCCTATGTCCTGAATGGTTTTGCCTAGATTTTCTTCTAGGGTTTTTATGGTGCCAGGTCTTATGTTTAAGTCTTTAATCCATCTGGAGTTGATTTTAGTGTAAGGTGTCAGGAAGGGGTCCAGTTTCTGCTTTCTGCACATGGCTAGCCAGTGCACCATTTATTTCCTTTCCCCATTGCTTGTTTTTGTCAGGTTTATCCAAGATTGTATGGTAGTAGATATGTTGTGTTGCTTCCGATGCCTCTGTTCTGTTCCATTGGTCTATATCTCTGTTTTGGTACCAGTACCATGCTGTTTTGATTACTGTAGCCTTGTAGTATAGTTTGAAGTCTGGTAGTGTGATGCCTCCTGCTGTGTTCTTTTTGCTTAGAATTGACTTGGCTATGCGGGCTCTCTTTTGGTTCCATGTGAAGTTCAAGGTGTTTTTTTTTTTCCAGTTCTGTGAAGAAAGTCAATGGTAGCTAGATGGGGTAGCATTGATTCTGTAAATTACTTTAAGCAGTATGGCCATTTTCACAATATTGATTCTATTTAATCATGACCATGGAATGTTTCTCCATCTGTTTGTGTCCTCTTATTCCCTTGAGTGGTGGTTTGTAGTTCCCCTTGAAGAGGTCCTTTACTTTCCTTGTTAGTTGTATTCCTAGGTATTTTATTCTTTTTGTAGCAATTCTGAATGGCAGTTCGTTCTTGATTTGGCTTTCTTTCAGTCTGTTATTAGTGTATAGGAATGCTTGTGATTTTTGCACATTGATTTTGTATCCTGAGACTTTGCTAAAGTTGCTTATCAGTTTCAGGAGATTTTGGGCTGAGATGATGGGATCTTCTAGATATACAATCATGTCATCTGAAAATAGAGACAATTTGACTTCCTCCTTTCCTAGTTGAATACCCTTTTCTTTTTCTTGCCTGATTGCTCTGGCTAGAACTTTCAGTACTATATTGAATAGGAGTGATGAGAGAGGGCATCCTTGTCTAGTGCCAGATTGCAGAGGGAATGCTTCCAGTTTTTGCCCATTCAGTATGATATTGGCTGTTGGTTTGTCATAAATAGCTTTTATTGTTTTGAGAAACGTTCCATCAATACCGAGTTTATTGAGGGTTTTTAGCATAAAGGGCTATTGAATTTTGTCAAAGGCCTTCTCTGCACCTATTGAGATAATCATGTGGTTTTTGTTTTTAGTTCTGTTTATGTGGTGAATTATGTTTATAGACTTGCGTGTGTTGAACCAGTCTTGCATCCCTGGGATGTTTCCTACTTGATCATGGTGGATAAGCTTTTTGATGTGCTGTTGCAATCAGCTTGCCAGTATTTTATTGAAGATTTTTGCATCTATGTTCATCATGGATATTGGCCTGAAATTTTATTTTCTTGTTGAGTCTCTGCCGGGTTTTGGTATAAGGATGATGTTGGTCTCATAAAATGATTTGGGAAGGATTCCCTCTTTTTGGATTGTTTGAAATAGTTTTAGAAGGAATGGTACCAGCTCCTCCTTGTGTGTCTGGTAGAATTCGGCTGTGAACCCATCTGGACCTGGGCTTTTTTTGTGAGGTAGGCTCTTAATTGCTGCCTCAACTTCAGACCTTGTTATTGGTCTATTCATAGTTTTGGCTTCCTCCTGGTTTAGGCTTGGGAGGACACAAGTGT